TACATCTAGATTATGACGTTATCATTGGCTGTAATTTATTTCATAATACTAACCTAGCTGCAGTGACCGACTGTGATGGTACTCGAGTTATCGGCAGACAGCTTCCTGGAGTTTTACATATTTCGGAGGATACTGACAATAATTTACGGGTGCCTATGGAATATCGTACTCAATTAAATAATTTATTGAAATCATTCGCGCACAATATAACAAGTGGTACGGCGGTTTCAGCGGTAAAGACTACAAAAATGGAAATTAATTTAATCGACAATTATATTGTCTCGCAGCGTCCATATCGTCTTTCAATAAGTGAACGAGAAGAAGTTCGGACAATCATTGCAGATCTGTTGAAAAATAACATTATCCGTGAGAGTACGTCGCCGTACGCGAGTCCGATCTTACTAGTAAAGAAAAAGGATAATTCCTTCAGACTATGCGTAGATTGTCGCGAGTTAAATTCAAACACGGTTAAAGATAAATTCCCTTTACCAAGAATTGATGATCAGCTTGATCGCTTGGGGAAAGGAAAATTTTTTACATCGTTAGATATGGCGTCGGGATTCCACCAAATTCCTATTCATCCTGATTCGATACACAAAACAGCGTTCGTCACGCCGGATGGGCACTATGAGTATTGCAGAATGGCATTTAGGCTTTGCAATGCGCCTGCTGTTTTTCAAAGAGCTCTTAATGCTGCTCTGGGTGATCTTAAGTATACTATTGCTCTTGTCTATATGGATGATATTCTCATATCTTCTGTGACTGTCGAGCAAGGGTTGACATATTTAGAGCAGGTATTAAGTGCCTTGCAAAAAGCGGGGTTTTCTCTAAACATTAAAAAGTGTTCCTTTCTACAGTCGTCAATTGAATATTTAGGCCGTGAGATAAGTTCAGATGGCATTAGACCTAGCCGACGCAAAGTCGAGGCCCTGACTCAATTATCAACACCATCAAACGTAAAACAAGTTAGACAATTTATGGGGTTGGCTGGGTACTTCAGGAAATATATTCCGGAGTTCGCTGCACGGACTGCTTGTATTAATTACTTAATAACATTCCATTTGTTTGGGAAAATAAACATGACGAAAAATTACATTGTTAATTGTCTCGCATCTCAACATTTGTTAGTAGTGTTGAATCCAGATTTGCCGACTGAGTTGCACACGGATGCAAGCTCTATAGGGTATGGGGCTATTTTACTTCAAAAATATGATGGTCAAAATCGAGTAGTTGCTTATTTCAGTAGAAGAACCACTTCTTACGAATCGAGATACCACTCATACGAGCTGGATACGTTAGCTGTTGTAAACGCACTGAAACATTTCCGCGTATATCTGATAGGTATCAAGTTTACAATTGTTACAGACTGTAATTCTGTAAAATCAACGGTAAATAAAAAAGAAATTTGTCCCCGAATCGCTCGTTGGTGGACGTATTTACAAGACTTCAATTTCGAAATCGTCTATCGTAAAGGTTCTACTTTAAATCACGTTAACTTCCTTAGTCGCAATCCGGTTTCTGTTTTACATGTGAGATGCCATGAATCATGGCTGCATATTGAGCAGAAGGGTAATGCCGAAATTCAGCAAATGCTGCGCGACTTACGGGAAGGTAAACTAGATTCAACTCAATATCTAGAAAAGGATGGACTCAAAAACACAACACAAACAAAAATATAAGCATGTCTTAGTGCTAGTTACTAAATATTGTAATCTGGTTCCCTTAAAAACTGTCAAAGCTGATGAGACACAAAGAGCATTGCAAATTTTTATTTCATGTTTCGGTAATTTTCACAATTTGACGATTTGTAAATTTTTTGATGAATGGAATATTCAGTATCATTATGTTACACCTGACGTTCATAGAGCAAACGGGCAAGTTGAGCGCTATATGCGTACGATTATGAACTTAATTCGCATTGAAACTCGATTAAAACAAGAATGACCAAACGTACTTTGGAAGATACAGCTAGTTCTGAATACCACAGTGCAAAAAACAATTAACATTAGTCCCTTACATGCTTTGATTGGAATTGAATCGGCAACTCCACTAATACAGGCAGTTTTGAATGACCTATCACATGATTTGACACCAATACAGAACTTGCCCCTCGATAGACAGCGAGTGAAGGAACGACTTACTCCGAGCGAACCTCTGAAGAAAAAATTAAATCAAAACAGGCGTGAAACCATTCAATATGCTGTTGGGGATTTTGTACTGGTCCATAGGGCGAGTAAATTGCATGTTAGCAAGTCAAAATTTGAATTTTTGGGTCCATACGAAATTATGAATATTACCAAAGAGGGTCGCTACGAATTGAAGCGGGTTGGTGCGAGTAGACACAAAATTATAAAAGCTGCTAAGGAGCAACTGAGGTTGTGGCCAACGGACTGGTCGTTGGCAACTGAAATGTCCGACTTGTTAGATTTCTTAGAAAATGAGACTGCAACAAAGGATGTTGGCAAGTTAACATTGTCTGGTAGTTATGAAGCTATTTATAAATACTGTTTTGCTGCAAGGTTGCAATATACCTTGGCTCTTGATTTATGTTTTGATTGAGTATTAATAAAGTATTGCTGCAAGGTTGCAATATACCTTGGCTCTTGATATATGTTTTGAATGGGTATTAATACGGTTTTGCTGCAAGGTTGGAATATACCTTGACTTTTGGTACATGCTTGCTTGACTAAGGATTATATGTTATTGCTGCAAGGTTGCGATATACCTTGGCTCTGTATGCAGGAATAGCTGTAAAGTTGAAAGATACTTTGGCTCTGTGGAGTGTTTAAAAAAAAACACTTGTGGTACCATAATTGACATAATCGAATTATTACTTTCATGTTACAGAGCCTATGCCTGCTTCCATGGGAAATGATTCCGAGAGCGGAATACCCGTCAGTCTGGCCGTGTTAGATTCCGATCCTAGTGAACCCTTAGACTGAAGAAATCAAGTGGACCAGAACCTGTCATCGCGCCTGTCTCGACCGAGAAAAAACTTACTTGTCACTCGACACCGAGCCTGGCAAGTTCGTTATTCATTATCTCGAATATTGTGAAACAGTTTATAAATAATAAACCTTGTAAGATTTGTGTTTTTCAGTTTACATCTAACACTATCGATAAGTAACAAAATTTCTTATCAGAAGAACGGTCTCCCATTCAACTGAAACTTTCGGTAAAATGATACACTAATACCCATTTTCAACAAGTATACCTTTTTATGTCTGCGGAATCTAAAAATTAATCTCAAATAATTATTAGGTCATTGGCGTAGAAGTTGGGGCAAAAAAACCCGCTTTACTATCCATACCTACGCCACTGACCTACAAAAATTTATAAATTTTACAGTAAATTATGCACATGTGCAAATGTTAACACCACACTAAATTTGAATCAATTTGTTTTAAGCATACCAAAGATTTCATAATTAATAAATTTTAAAAACTGAGCAATACGTCCCTGTACAGTGAAAATGGTGAGACTTAGACCCTTGCTTTGTAAGGCAATTATTTATTGAGTTCTATTTGTGGTTAAAGTTTGATTTACCCGAACTGAAACACCCTGTATGTGCTTAATCTTCAAGTTACATAGGTTGTATTAAAATTTTAAAGGGACAGATCAGTTCTAATGGAAACCACTGACTCGATTGCAAAAAATACATCAGCATAACCAGAAGCCTATATAAGTTACTGCCTATGTTTATGCACAACCGGTGGTTGAGGTAGTTGGAGTAGAAATAAAAAATGTTAAAGGTGTCGCTGCTATATTTGACATGATATGTTTATCACAGTGAACATGGTCTGTAAAAGGAAATAGTGCAATGGACTCTAGAGACACCTATTGATTACTTTTTTCATTCATAATTTCTTTGTAAAATCTTTGATTATAGTCCAGTCAAGACCAAAAAATAAGAGTGAAGGTACATAAATTTACAACAAGCTGAAAGTGAGTAAAATTGTTTAAAACATAATTAAAAATAACATATTATAATTCCTCATCGTTCCGGTACTCGGAAAAAAATTTACTCGAGGTCAAAGGTCAAAAAGGTATAAAATTACCTCAGACAAAAATTGTAGATCATATAATTATCTATAATAAATGTATCAATACTTTTTTCCTAAGAGCCACCGTTTCTGAGATATAACGATTCAAAAAGTTGTAAAAGTTGTAATCGTCATAATATGCATAAGTACGCCACGTATATACATCTCTGAAGCTGTAGTATAAGTAAAAATATTTTTCCAACGGTGATTGTAACTTACACTTAAAATATAAAATATACATAAGATAAGTATAACTATGAGAATATCAGGTAAAATGAAACCCAACCCCTTAATTTATACGCCAGTGTAACCTTGAGACAACATCTGTCTCCCTGTTCAATTGTCAAGAAGAAGAAGATCAAGAAGGAGAGCAAGAAGAAGTATTTGAAGGTTATGAATCAGACAAATAAATTCCTCTACTTTTTTTTAATTTCCATCGCTTTTATCATTTCCAACCCTTGCTAATATCTGTTATTATGCAATAGTTTCAAACTAAATAGAATCACAACAGACCTGTGGAATAGGCCTACTGGGGAAACCACGTTAAAAAAAACGCGCTAACTACACTACCTCATAGGTGGCGTGGAAACGTGTGCTTATTATGACGTTTACAACTTTTACAACTTTTTGAATCGTTATATCTCAGGAACGGTGGCTCTTAGGAAAAAAGTATTGATACATTTTTTATAGATAATTTTATGAACTACAATTTTTGTCTGAGGTAATTATATGATAAAACTTACCGTTTAGCTGAAAATCGCGAAAAACCCATTTTTTTTACCTTTGACCTCAAGTAATTTTTTTTCCGAGTACCTGAGCGATGAGGAATTTTAATATGTTAATTTTAATTATGTTTTGAACAACTTTACTCACTTTCAGCTTGTTGTAAATTTATGTATCTTTGAATGTCTAGATTGACCGGACTATTATTAATAATTAAGAAATGAAAAAGTGTACTTACTTCTCAAGCTCTTGATGAATCAATTCTCGCTCATGTGTTAATCTACCTAAGTTCATCTTCATCTCTGAACAACTTTGATTGAAGTATTGCCTTAGCTCTTTTAAATCCTGCTCGGTGCACTCCGTTGCCCTAGTTAATTCAGCAACCTGTGATATTTAAGATAAATTGTAAATACTATAAATTATAAAAGTGGAAAAAACATATTTTTTTCTACAATAACCATACAGGATGTCAGGGAACTGAATGGGTCATACTTTAAGGACAGCTTAACCTGCCTTAGCATGATTTTATTTACTTAAAAAGTTATCGGCCATCAAAAATTTGACATTTTTTTTTAAGATGGTCGTCAGTTTTCAAGATGTTTTAATGATTGAGTGACCACAAAAATCGCCCGTTTTTTCACAATTTGCAGAGAACTAAATAAAATATATAAAAATATGTTTTTGGTCTCAAATTACTCATCGTAACAAATTAAGATGAGCATAGCTTTTAGTTTTTTGAAAATTTTCAAAAATCACCCCTACTTAGGGGCTGAAGACTCCCAAAATGAAGAATTGAATATTACCAATAAATATAAAAACTATTTGCATATGAATTTTTCTATCGAATGATTCTTGATACAAAGAAAGATTTATTCTCATGACTGAAATAAGCATGTTGAATTAGAAAATTCACCCTTAAGCGCGCTCAGGGAGTGGAATCATCCCCAAAAATAGAGAATATCAGAAATAATTGTAAAAATTCAAAAAAAAATATATTAAGATAATTCACATGCTAATAGTTTTTATATCAATTGGTAATATTCAAATTCTTAATTTTTGGCATTTTTTCAACCCCTAAGTAGGGGTGATTTTTACAATTTTCAAAATACTAAAAGCTATGCTCATTTCAGTTTTTTACAAGTAATTTGCAACCAAAAACATTTTTATGTATTTTTTTAAATTTCTTGCAAATTGTGAAAAAACGGGCGAAATTTAGGTTTATTTCTTATCTAAACCTAGTCGCTAAGAATACTTAAAACAACGTTTTCTCTTGGTAGAGATTTTGTGTGGGATATTATATGAAATTTCAATTATTTACTGTAAAAAACGTATATCAATTGAATGTTGTTAAAGTGCATTTGAGTTTTTGGGGTATTGGATCATAAATAATCTTGACTTATTGCTAAATTTCTAGCTATATTAAATATTTTTTACAATTTAGACCAACCTGTTCATAATGACAGTTAGGATCTTGTTGATTGTTGATTTTTTTAGGAAACAAATTTTTTAAATTGATTTAAAACTACTAGAGTAAAAATGTGAGAGCTAATAATACAATACATTTAGACATTTTTAACATTTGTTAAAATTGTTTGGCAGCATAGATGTAATTTATGTTCACTCTCAAATTTACTACTGTCAATTTTGAAACTTGCTCTAATTTAGAAATTCATAATGATGCCTAGGGCCAAAAAGATTTTGTTGCGACTATGGTTCGAAAAGGGCAAATGTAGTTGTGTGCTTAGCAGCGTTGCCAGACATCCCGATTTTTAACCCAAAATTAAATGTTTCGCGCAGGACACGCTCAGTCCCGCTTTTCCCGCTCTTGCTTTGTTTCTTCTTTAGGCATCAATTAATTTCTCCGGGTCCTATTTTTTATTTTTTTTTTTAATTTCAAAAAACCATATTCACCTGTTGTTTATGCTCTTCTTTCTTTTCATTCCACTTTTCTTCCATTTCCTTTCTAAAACCAATTTCTTTCAGAAGTTCTTCTTTATGCCTGTCTGCTGCCTTCTCAGCAGCATGTACTTTTGCCCCCAACTCACTCGTTCTTTTTTGTTCCTTTACAAGTTGCGCCTCGTAATTGCTACACATATCACATATAGATAATTTGGATGAATCAAATGACGTGTTTGTAGCAGTTGTTGCATTCATATTCACATGTTGAGAAGACTGATCCACACCTTTATTCATCTGAAATATTGTGATAGATAATACTTAATATGTCTTAAGCTTGATGTTTTAGGAAAATAGATCAATGAAAACGACATCCTAACATATCAATTTATATGGGTAAATTTTATATATCATTTAATTTAATAAATACAAAAATTACTATTTAGAAGTAGATATTAAATTTGAAAGTCAAGGTTATAAATTCTAATATTTACCTCTTCTTGATGATGACCACATTCTTTACATTTCTGAAGCTGCTCATCCGTGGCCCTTAATTTTTCCTTCAAAGCTTTTATTTGATCTGCAAGGGGTTCAACAAGAGAACGCAATACTTCTGCATCTTCATGGGTCTGTGCAACAAATTATTTCACATTAGACAAAAATACTGTAAAATGTGCTATAAATAAAAACAGCTCTTTTGTTGTGATTTGGAATGGATTGTTGTTGATTTTTTTCTACATTAAAATTAAGTCTAAATTGAAGATGTATATTTTAAAATATTTTTAACATATTACAAAAAATATGTTATCTACTATCATCCTTCCTTAAACAAGTATAACTCTCTTATTATAAGACCACTCCTTATACTTTAAAGGAATTTTGTAATATTAAAAATATAATTAAAAATGAATTGAATGCAGTATACAAAATATAAAAATATTCATACTTCATATTTCACTATATTACCTTTTTAATACCATCATCGACGCTTTCTTGAGAAGAAAAGGAATCAGCTCCTAATTTCTTTAATCCTTTTGATAACACATTGAACACTTGACTTGGGGCTAAACTACTATGTTCCTAAAAATAAATATTATTAAAATGTAAACATTAGTGTTAAGTTAAAACCTTTAATGTATTTAGGAGTGAAAACATTTTTTAATAAGAATAAGCCAGCAATATCGGAAACTTTACATAAATATAATACGTATGTTAAGTGATAATTTTAGGTCACTAGATTATAATTCAAATTAGAGTTCGTTAAAATATATGTGTATATACTTTTTAAATACTCAATAGTTTTATGCGAACCTGTGTAGTGTGATGTGGTGACTGATTTTTTTCTTGTTTTAAATCAGTTATTTCTCGTTGAAGTTGTTGGATATAAGATTCCAATTTTGATAGTTCTGTATCATACAAAGATCTGGTTGAACTGGACTCTTCCACAGTCTCTGAAAAAAGTATATATTTGCAGTTTGAGTGAGTAGTAAAATGTATGAAATTTAAAATACTATACAAGGTGTTACAAATTATTTTTAGTTTTGACTTTTCTTGAAAAATATTACATTTCTGTAAAATGGTAATTTAGGACTTATGAGAACTTGTTTTCACATACATTTTGAACATAGGTCATAGATAGAAAGTTTATTATAAGAATTAGAGAATTAATTACTATACTGAGCATTTCCTATACAAGCTTTTAAAATCATTAAAATAAGCAAAACCAACTTCAACTATTTTAATCAGAATTTCAGGACCAGGAACCCCTCTAATTTTTTTTGAGATGCACGATTCAAATTATTGGTTATGTAGTGAGATATTTAATTTAAAAAATACCTAAATTTAATAATTGCTCCCAAAAAATAAATAAATAAATAAATCACAGAGGGCATGGATTACCAATAATATGTAATTGGTTCAACAAGTAGTAGAAGGTCACTATACAGGCTGTTACAATTCGCTTCTCACTACAGGGATCTCGAAAACGGTAAGAGATACAAACTAGCTTAAATGAGGGCAAAGTTGCGTAATCAGGGGACTAACATTAAGCCTCTAAAAAATCAAGGCTAACATGATTGATTTTCAAAATATTTGAAAAAAAACGAAATTTTGGAAATCCGTTTTTGTTTCACTTCAGCCTTGTTTGAGGTGATATTGAAAAAAGGAGAACACTTTCTCATGGCCACTTTTTGCCCTCTATCGAATGGCATAATCAATTTTTATATGTAACGTTTCATCTCTCCAGGACCATTATCAACTTCTTTTTTTTTTAATACCCCCAATACTGTATTGCCTCAGCCCGAACCAGATTCAGAATTTTGTCTAGAAAAATTCATCTTCAGTGTATTTTTTCAAATTTATCTAAATTTTTTATTTTGATTTCTTTGTTTATTGAATTATCGTATGTTGTAAGTGTTGTTAGACCCCGTGAAATACATATAGTTATTTAAACTATTAACACCACACATTAAAATAAAACATTATTAGAGTTTTAATCCCGTACCCGTAGTTATTTCTAGATTTCTCGAGTGCTCAAAATTCAAACAAATTCCGATCTATTTTTTTCAGGATATTCGTACAAATACATCTGACATGCTCTTTCACAGTTGCGGTTACAGATATAATAAATTCCAATAATATTATACTGATCTTCATTTTCAACCTTTGCCAAAACGAAAATGTTTTTGAACATTTACTGAAATTTTTTAAAGAATAATATTCAGTTGGCATTTTGGTTGTTCATATGCATTTTTAAGAATTAATTTGTCATAATAAAATTAAAATTGTAATAATGTTTTAATTTTGATTCTACAACTTATTGAGTTAAGTATGGTAATAGTTAATAATAATAAATGTTTTATTGTAACGCGTGGTGGTAAATAACTAGATGGATTTCACAGGGTCTAACGACTAACTTATACTAGTACGATAATTCAATAAACAAAAAAATATAAATAAAAAATTTTGATAAATTTGGAATGAATACACTGAAGATGAATTTTTCGATACAAAACATCTGAATGTGGTTCGGGCTGAGCCAGTATTGGGGGTCATGAAGGCTTGCAAAAAATGCAATAAAATTTCTAGGGTCCTATTTAAAAAAATGAAATTGATGATGGGTCTGGAGAGACGAATTATGCCATTTTTAGAGAGCAAAAAGTGGCCATGAGAAAGTGTTATTTTTTTTTCAATACCAGCTCAAACAAAGCTGAAATGAAACAAAAATGGATTTCCAAAATTTCAGTTTTTTTCAAATATTTCGAAAACTAATCATGTTAGCCTTGATTTCTTAGAGGCATAATGTTGGTGTCCTGATTATGCAACTTTGCCCCCATTTAAGCTACTTCGTATCTCTTGCCGTTTCCGAGATCACTGTAGTGAGAAGCGAATTTGTAACAGCTGTATATGTATATGTACCCCAAAAAAATTCTACTGAGTATTAACACATCATCCTTATATTTTAGAACAGATGGGTCAATTTTCAAAAAAAATATTTTTTTTTTTTTACCAGGGAGTATTTGACGAGATTGACCTCAAACATAATTTCTGTTATCTTAATTTCATAAATTAGCAGATTAATATATCTATTTGCCAGTACAAAAATTTCAGTGCTTGCTATAGTGGATACAATTTTTTTAATGTAAGGTTTGGAATACCCTATACAAACCCATCATGTTTTAAGTTAGAGTTTGTAATAAACATGGTCTTTGTACCGAAATTTAGAAATTTGACCATTTACTAATATTAATGTTTTATTGTTTCAGTATATCGGGTGTTACGAAATTCGCGGACACGGACTATGGAATCATGTTAAGCTAGATAATGTCATAAAAAAATGTCTCTATCATTTTTCAATCAGACCGATATTTTTCGAGATACGGCAGTTTTAAATATCCAAAAATAATAAAAATTTTCAATTTTTAATCATTTGATAAACAATTATGACAAACGAATTGTTCAAAATTTCCACCACCTGCTGCTAAACATGCTTCAGCACATTGTGCTACAGCTCGAATGGAGTTGCGTACCTACTATCTCTGGCGTTATTTGTTGTATTGTTTGAAACTGACAGCTCTATAACAATTAATGACAATTCAAAAAGCAATTATCAATATTTTGACATTGTTAGAGTACAGTAAAAGTACTCAATACAAACTGCAAAATAATAGGCCACAATTATTCAAATCGTGAATAGTGTGATATGCTGATGGCTCTCGGAGCTTCAAATAATCGTGCAGGTGAAGCAGTGCGGTTGGATGGCAGAGGCGATCCATTTGCTTGGCCACCTCGTTGTCCAGACCTAACGCCATGTGATTTTTTATTTTGGGGCTTCTTAAAAACGTTGGTGTTCAGAACAGTGTACAGTGGCAAATTTGAATAAATTGCAGAACCACCTATTTCAATCAATTCAGCAAATAACACCAGAGGTGATAAACAACTCCATTAGACCAGTAGCACAATGTGCTGAAGTATGTTTAACAGCAGACGGTGGAATTTTTGAACTCGTTGTAACTCGTTTGTCGTAATTGTTTATTTAATGATTGAAAATTGAAATTTATAAATATATATTTTTAATATTTTTGGATATTTGATACTGCTATATCTCGAAAAATATTGGTCTGATTGAAAAATCATAAAGACACTTTTTTATCTAGCTTAATATGATGCCACAGTCCGTGTCCGCGAATTTTGTAACACCCGGTATAAGCTTCCACAATCGTCAGAAAATTTATAATTCATTAAATATAAATTTTTAGGAATTTTATAGACAAAGGCCTAAGTTGGAACTACATTGTGAATACTAAATTAAGTTCTGTTCATAACGTAAAATCTGTTTTAATTAAAGAACAACTACTTAATATATGTATACTATGATTTTGTGGAGTCTAAGTTGAGGTTTCTAGGTACTTATGTGGTGGTTCAAAGTCCTTGTTTTTTTTTTTGAATAAAAAATTGTAGGGTGTATGGCAGGTGCTCCAAATATTGTTGTGTAAGAATACTTGTAAGGGATTTAGAATTTTAATTTTATGTTGTCCATGGATTTATGAACTATCTGTATATACATATACAGGGTGATTCATTAATAATGGGACAGAGCTTAAGGGCATGTTGCTGACCTCAAAATAGAGTGATTAAGCCAAATATGTCTTATCCGAATGTTGCTCCTTTTCGATCTACAGGGTGTTAAAGTTGAAAAAATATTTTCGATTTTTTTAAATATCTTGAGCATCTTTGAACGGATTGTCTTGAAAGTTTGTACACCTATGTTTTCTGAGGTGGTAATTACGGAAATGGTAACTATTTTGCAATCACATCTAGGATGCGCTAGTTGT